CGTAACAGGCACCAACAGAACAAAACATTATGGCTCAAGAAAAACTCAAAGCCCCAGAGCCGATAAATCTAAGTGAACAAGAAATTGCCAACCTATCAGATGCACAGTTCAAAACAATGGTGATCAGGATGCTCACAGAACTGGTGGATTTTAGTCACAAATTAGATGAAAAAATGAAGGATAAACTAATTGAAATGAAGGGAAATGCACAGGAAACCAATAGTGATGGGAAGGAAACTGGGACTCAAATCAAGGGAGTGGACCAGAAGGAAGAAAAAAACATTCAACTAGAACAGAATGAAAAAACAAGAATTCAAAAAAAAAAAAGAGGAGAGGCTTAGGAACCTTCAGGACATCTTTAAACGCTCCAACATCCGAATTATAAGGGTATCAGAAGGGGAAGAGGAAGAGCGATGAGTGGAAAACTTATTTGAACAAATAATAAGGGAGAATTTCCCCAATCTGGCAAAGAAAATAGACTTCCAGGAAATCCAGGAAGCTCAGAGAGTCCCAAAAAAGATGGACCCAAGAAGGAACACACCAAGGCACATCATAATTACATTAGCCAAGATTAAAATGAAAGAGAGAATCCTAGAAGCAGCAAGAGATAAGGGGACAGTCACCTACAAAGGAGTTCCCATCAGACTTGTCAGCATATTTCTCAAAAGAGACCTTACAGGCAAGAAGGGGCTGGAAAGAGGTATTCCAAGTCATGAAATCCAAAGACCTATATCCAAGATTGCTCTATCCAGCAAAGCTTTCTTTTAGAATGGAAGGACAGATAAAGTGCTTCTCAGATAAGATCAAATTCAAGGAGTTCATCATCACCAAGCGCTTATTATATGAAATGCTAAAGGGTCTTATCTAAGAAAAAGAGAATAAAAAAGATGAACAGTGAAAGGACAGCAAACTCACAGTTATTAAGAACCACACCTAAAACAAAAGCAAACTAAGAGGACAGCTAGATCAGGAGGAGAACCATAGAAATGAAGATCACATGGAGGGTTATCGACAGGGGCGTGGGAGAAGGCGAAGGGGGAGAAGGTACAGAAAATAAGCAGCATAGATGGTGGGGAGAAAATAGATAGGGAAGGGGAAGAATAGTATGGGAAATATAGAATCTAAAGAACTTGAGACACGTGGTCATAAACTAAAGGGGGGGCATTGGTGGGGGAGGGATGTGCAGGGTGGTGGGAAATGAAGGGGGGAATAGAACTATAATGGCATAATCAATAAGATATATTTTAAAAAAAGAAAAAAACAAACCAACCAACAGGAAAATAAAAGACAAAAGGGGAAAAGTCAAGAAAGTGAATTACAGATGAGTTGTGAACACACTCACTCAGCGTATGATGTGTACTAGAAGAATATTTCTGGTTCAAGACATTTTAGACAAAACATTCAGCACGTAGCTGTGATACCTTTCTGATAAAGGGTACAGGCTCATTTGAAAGTAATGGAGCAGGCCCTAGCTAGTGTGGCTCAGTGGATTGAGCACCGGCCTGTGAACCAAGGGATCGCCTGCTGGATTCCTGGTCAGGGCATATGCCTGGATTGCAGACCAGGTCCCCAGTAGGGAGAGTATAAGAGGCAACCACACATTGATGTTTCTCTTCCTGTTCTTCTCTCTCTTCCTCTCTTTAAAAGTAAATAAATAAAATCGTTTTTAAGAAAGTTATGGAGCAGGGAGGTAAACAGCCACAAATAATAGCACTAAAGGCAGCAACATTTAAACTTGAAAACTGCCTGAGAACTTCCTGTGCTTCCTAAATATGCACGAGTCATAAAAATAAAGCTTCTCCTGACTCTATTACAACATAAAATATTAACCAAAAAACCTCAAGTTCACACTTTCACTAAAGATTATAAGCAGAGTACTTACTAATAATAACATTTTGCTATAGGTCAACAGTCTGGAGCCTCTACATATTTCTATATTTTTATTTTGATACTGTTTCACCCACACATTTTTAACTATAAAGTCACTTATTCATTACCATATATGTAAGATAAATACCGATTACTAATTTATTTCGATTTTTTAAAAAAGAATTTATTTAATTTTAGAGAGAGGGGAAGGGGAAGGGCGGGAGAAAGAGAGAAACATTGACATATGAGAGCTACATCAATCAGCTGCCTCTCCCACACCCCCAACCCACAATGGAGGCAAGTGCACTGACTGGGAATCGAACCATTGACCTTACAGTTCATAAGCCAGGATTCAATTCACTGAGCCATACAGCCAGGACCATATTTAGCTTCCTAAGCTTAAGTACTATAACTCAAATATTCTTTGCATTTCTCTGCAATGATATTATCTGTTTTATTCCTGAAAAGGTACAGACCATCTACGCATAACTTCTGAAAGCACAGCTGATGTACTTAACAACTGTTTCACAAGTACAGTTCTGCAGCACTAGCATAGCAAATTAATGAAATACAAAACATTTTAAATTAGAACTTTAAATATTTTTACTTTTGCCAACTATCCTAATCAAGAAGAAAATTAAGTATTAGATAAACAAAGCACAAAACATAAATTAGAGCATGATGGGAAAGTTGCCAGGCTGAACTCTAGGAACTGAGGTCTGCACCAACTTGTAAAATCAGAGGAATAAACAGAATCAACTGGTAATTCAGTTAAACGAGGTTAATGCACTCCTCCCTACAACAAGCATTAGTGACAGCTACCACAAAACCATCAAAGTTGAAAAAAAAAAAGTCCTGCCAACACAAGCAGCGTTACTAATCTCTTCCTCTGGATCTCTCCTTCATTCACTTGCCTTGTACTGAGCTAAGATACCTTCATAATAAAGAACGTGTTGATAGCTTTTTATGGTAAACCACATGTTTTTTGTTTGTCACCCAGAAAGTTAAGAAAATATGATGAAGTAGGATTAAGTTATCCTTATGCTTATCACCCAAAGATGAACAACATTAACATAGTCTACTAGTCTTTTTTCTTAAAAGTTGTGCTATAGTCTAAGTACTATTTTGCAGCCTTTCTCAGTTGATCAGACATCTGGCATTTCCCACCATAATTTCAAATATTGTTGTAGTCACTTCAAATCTTATGTGAAATATACAATAAGAGTAATGGTTACCATTTCATCACACCTTATGCAAGTTCTAATTCCTTAGAACAACTTTCTGCAAAGAATACACCATTTTAAATGTTTAAAAACTAAAATATTTTCTCTTTCCATATGATACTAGAGAAATACCACTTCATAAAATTCATTAATCACCACCAGTATTTAGGACAAGCCTATGTTCTGTTCATTAAGATATGATGCATTAAAAACAGATCATCCTGGCTGGTGTAGCTCAGTGGATTGAGCGCAGGCCTGTGAAGCAAAGGGTTGTCAGTTCAGTTCCCAGTCAGGACATATGCCTGGGTTGTAGGCCAGGTCCCCAGTAGGGAAACACATAAGAGGCAACCACACACTGATGTTTCTCTCCCACTCTTTCTCCTTCCCTTCCCCTCTTTCTAAAAATAATAAATAAAATATTAAAATGAAAATTAAAAAACAGATCATTACTTCTAGCAATGAGCCCTGACCCAGGATCAAATCTGCAACCTTGGTGTATGGGGACCACACTCTAACTACTAGGACACATGGCCAGGGCTAAAGCCTCCCCTTTAAGGCTTTTTCTTAGGATGTATTTCCCAGAATGGGATTAATGTATATATAAACATGAACAATTTCACTAATGCATAATACTGTTTTGAGAAACTCTCACATTCTTTTATAAAAAATAAAAATTAATAACCTAAAGGTCTAGGAATCCTTCCCCCAATTCAGCTGGCAGTTGTTTCCTCTAATTAGATAAAATGAGCCATCCCCAAAAGGTCCACGGAAAAACTCCTAATGACAACCCTTAGGAGGAAGGGAGTCCTCCCTCTTCCAGCCCAGACACTTGGATTCTCTGGAAATAAGCGCAAAGATTTTACTTGGGTGGGAGAGAGACAGCGTACATCCCAACATTTTGTTTGGCCCTCCTTCAAAAGACCACACATTTAAATCTTAGTGATCTGATGAACAAAAAAATAAAATATCTTTGTTTTAATTTATATTTCTTTGATTAGCAGGGCTGCACCTACGATTACTTGTAACTTGTATTTCTTCTTTGATAAGAGGCCATTCATCAACCATTCTCATAAGCACTTATCTATAAAGGGAGGGCCTAGTCAAGAAAATCCAAGTTCTTCCAACAGACAGTCTTTCTTGATCACTTATGAATAAATATCTATCAAGGTAGATATATTTAGGAAAAAGGACTGAATAACAGAGATATATATTTGTTGACAGCAGCAAAATACAAGGCTAAACTTGTATTTAAAAATATAATGCAACTACTAAGTACAGTGAAATCATCAATCTGAAATTATAATGAACTGCATAGGTTTGTTTACTCACTCCATACTGCCTCTGAAGAAAATATTTACCAATCTAATGAATAACATATATAAAACACCCAATTTCATACCATGTACTGTGCTTAGCATTTTACATGGATTGTCACACATCATTTAAAATAATATAAATAAACTGAGGAGTGACTACTTAACACTAATTATTTTATATAAATGAATCTTGTTAATTAAGTCATTCTTAAGATTAAAGCACCCTTTCCAGGTAAGAATGCTTGAAAGATAAGTTTTGGAAGTCTCTTATAATTCAGATATATCACTACTTCAGAGTAGTATTTCTCTATATACTTTGGATTTTCATATTACTTTCTAGGGACACAGATTCATACTGTAATAAAGAAAAAAATACGACCCAGATGCTAACAGGTAGCAAGAAAAAGCTCAGGATTAAATAGTTAAGGAACAATATTCAACTGTACCTGATTCAAAAATACTGCCTCTTTCCTATTATATACTACCTACATTTTAAAAATGAGGTTTAAAAGTCTAAGGTTTCCTACAAAGGAGAACACTACAGAATTATGTACTTCCTAAATTTCCGTAACTCTAAATATGGCAAACTTACCTGTACTACTTGTTTCTGTAGTTGTGTTGCCTGTGTTGCTGAAATCTGTGTTTTTTCCCGAGCACCTCGGGAACGGTCATTGCTCACCGAAGTCATCATACACAGTATATACAAAATAATGTATGTACAATATAGAAAATCTGCAAGAAAGCAGGCATGGTGAGTAAAACTTGCAAATCACAGTAAAAGGCAAGGATAAAATACAGGGATAAGGAGTAAACATGAGCTATATCAAATGTTCTCTAGAACATAAATTCAAGAAAACAACCCTTCAGGATTTTAGATTTTCCTGGCACCTCTTATGCCAATTTTACTAAAGCAATCTAAAAGGCTAAGGTTTACAATACAGCAATTCTAAACAAAAATCTCAAATACCATAAAATTTAACCAGCAATTATTTTATCACTATACAGGGTGGGGCAAAACTAGGTCTACAGTTGTTTGTATGGAAAATAATACAATAATTAATAAATACAAGAATAAACTGTTTCACATACAACTGTAAAGCTACTTTTGTCCCACCCTGGACATAGTTACTACTACATGTAGTTTAATCTACTCTTCCCATTTGCAATTGGTATTTGAACCCAAAGATAAAAATTGCATCCAGCCAAGATTTTACCTGGCAATAATCTAATTTAAAATGTTAGGTCCAAGAACAAGCTATAAAGGCAAAAGCCACTTATAACAAGTAAATCTTCCAAAGGAGACAAAATAATTGGCATATATTTTTACTTTATTTATTCAACAAATATTTACTGAATAGCTACTTAAGTGTCAAGCATATAAATATAACATGTCATCAAAACATGATTATAACAATGAAATACCACTTCACACTCATTAAAGTGACCATTATAATAAAAAGAGATTAAAAAAAGAAAATAACAATTTTGGCAAAGATGCAGAGAACTAGAACCCCAGTATACTGCTGGTAGGAATGTAAAACGGTGCAGCCACAATGGAAAATATGGCAGTCACTCAAAATAAATTTTTAAAAATAGAATTACCTATGATTCAGTAATCCTGCTTCTAGTAATACTCCCAAAAATTGAAAGCAGGATCTTGAAGAAACAGTTGTATGCCCATATTCATTGCAGCATTATTCACAATAGCTAAAAAGTAGAAGCCACCCAAATTTCTCCCAACAGATGAATGGATAAGCAAATGTGGTATGTACCTACAATGAACTATTTATTACTGTCTTAAAAAAAATGGGAATTCTGACATGTGCTACAGCATGGATGAACCTTGAGGACATTATGCTAAATGAAATAAGCCAAAGAGGAAAATTACTGTATGACTACTTATACAAGTTATCTTGAATAGTCAAATTCATAGTCAAAGTTGAATGGTGGTTACCAAGGATTAGGATAAGGGAGAATGGAGAGTTACTGTTTAATGATTTCATGTTATGTATATTGTACTATAACTTAGAAAACAATGCAGCAACACCTTAGTTTAATTTCCAACCTAGAACTCTACACTGAGCAAAGATACCAATCAATGTAATGAAGAAACAAGTTTAGTTCATATATGCAATATCTCAAACTCAAGAAGCTCCTGGAAAAAACAAGACAGAAAAAGAGCAAACCAAGAGGCAGCTGTTGACAACACCATGAATTAGCTACCAATCTATTCACAACATACTACCATACTGTCTTCCTCTGGTAAAGAAGGCAAAAAACTAAACACTCAATTCCTCAGCCTCCCTTTTAACTTGGAATAGCCATGGGCCACTTTTCTCAAAAATGATCTAAATACTTATAGCACCTTTAAACAACCTCCCCCAAGAGGAAATAAGCCTAAGGTCCTTCAAAGAGTCAGTAATATGTAGCATAGCCATACAACTGAAAATTGTTCAGCAATAAAAAGAAATCATGGGCTGCGAACCAAAGGGTCTCTGGTGAGATTCCCAGTCAGGGCACATGCCTGGATTGCAGGCCAGGTGCCCAGTAGGGGGCATGAGAGAGGCAACCACACACTGATGTTTCTCTCCCTCCCTTCCCCTCTCTCTAAAAATAAATAAAATCTTTTTAAAAATCAACTACTGATGTACACAACATGGATGAATTTCGAATACGTTATCCTTAGTAAAAAAAGTCAAAACTCAAAATGCTATGTACTGTACAATTCAGTTTATGACATTCTGGAACAGACAGAATGTCATATAGGGGCAGAAAACAGATCAGTGGATAACAAGGGCATCCAACACAGGAGAGGAGGCTCCCACAAACAACAGCTGAAAAAAGATCAAGATGAGAGCCGAGCAGCAAGCCTTATGAAGGGTGTCAAACTCATTTTCGCTGGGGGCCTCCTCAGTCTCACGGTTGCCTTCAAAGGGCCAGGTGTAATTTTAGGACTGTGTAAATGTAACTACTTAATAGTTAAGCGAGAGCTCAGTGCTGCTGGTGGGTAGAACAAGATGCTGGACCAGATAAAACAAGGCAGAGGGCCGGGATTCAGCCGGTGGGCCTTGTGTTTGCTACCTGTGCCTCAGAGCAACCAAATCTAATCAGAGCAGGAGGATAAGAGAGGGCTAGCAAAGAGATGCCTCCAGGAAAACGGTTTTGATCATCCTAAGAAGTTAAATTGCACATATGAAATAAAGTATAGATGTTAATCAATGAAATCTAAGCTACACAGAAATCTACATAGAAATCTAAGCAACTATGGAAAAAAACAACTATTAAGTCCAAAAAAAGGCAACATAGCTCAACTGTAACATGTACAGGGTTATAATACTGATCTAACAAAAAATCATTATATAATACTGGGAGAATAGGATAAATTATAAATACAAACTAAGAAGAAATACAGCAGAAGAAATACTCTGGAGTCTTGAAAGTAACTACCCCTGGAGAATGAGACCCAGGAATGAGAGCAGTATAGGGGATTGCTGAGGGCATACAGAAGTTTTTGGGAAACAACAACTTTTTATTCAAATGTATTATGTTCTGAGCACCAAGATAAATATTTTATATACATGATTTCCTGTAATCCTCAACAATACTCTACAGAACTTGGCATAATCTCCATTTTAGGAATCAGATGTTCTACCCAGATCAATGAGATGTAAAGTAAGAGAGTGAGTCCTAACTTTATCTCCTGAGATACAGAGCCTATAAACCTAACTCGGTACTAAATTGTAAAGTAACTGTTGCCTTCATAATCCTAAACTAGCAAAACAGAGGCCAGAGGCCAAGCTAAAAGAGGCAAAACTCTTAATTATAAAAACAAGCCACAGCCCTGGCTGGTGTAGCTCAGTGGATTGAGCGCAGGCCTGTGAAGCAAAGGGTCGCCGGTTCGGTTCCCAGTCAGGCGCATGCCTGGGTTGCAGGCCAGGTCCCCAGTAGGGGACACATGGGAGGCAGCTACACATTGATGTTTCTCTCCCACTCTTTCTCCTTCCCTTCCCCTCTCTCTAAAAATAAATAAATAAAATATATTTTTTTAAAAAGCCACAGAGCATCCAGCTATAGACAATGTAGTCTCCAAAGCAGAAGACCTGTGGCTAAAGACACTACAATTTACAGCCTCCTTCTGAAGCATCATCTATCTCCCTAACTTTTCCTGTTGGTCACATAAACTCAAAAAAATTAAATAACAATGTTGAACAACATGAACATTTCAAATAATACAGAAGTAAAAACTTTTATATTTTCAAGAATTTTAAATCACTGCATGATTCAAATGTCTGCTGGAACTCTGTAATGACGTCACCAGTGACCACTGCCAATATAGTTTCAATACAACGGTGAGGAAAAAAGCCAGTGCAAGGGAGGAAGAGAGATGGCAAACAGTAATAACTGTTCTTGCATGAGGCAGTATGCAAAGTATCACAGTAGAATCTTCTGAGGCTGAGGTCCACTGAACAAGTCTATTACACTGCAAGCGCCATGAGAACAACTGTCCCTGTCGCCTGTGTTCTTCCAGGGCTTCATATGGAATGTGTGCTTAATTCTCTGAATAAAAGAGGTCCTGAAACTAAAGAGGGGACAATTGAGAGGCAACAAATTAAGACAGCAATAATGGAAAATGATTCACTTGGACTAGAGGAGGGATTCCTCTCCATAGTCCAGCAAAATGAAGAAATAGGTCTGGCAGCAGCTAAATTTATAGATTAGGAGAAACAGGCAATGGAAGTTTGTTGTATTTATCATTACTTTTTTTAGTAAAATATACAAAAACATCTGCAGAGAGCCCTGGCTGGTGTAGCTCAGTGAATTGAGCACTGGCTGCAAACCAAAGGGTCACTGATTTGATTTCCAGTCAGGGCACATGCCTAGGCTGAGGGCCAGGTCCCCAGTATAAGGCGCATAAATGGCAACCACACAGTGATGTTTCTCTTCCTCTTTCGCCCTCCCTTCCCCTCTCTAAAAATAAATAAATAAAATATTTAAAAAATATATCTGCAGAGAATGACTACTAGATGAATGGGGGGTGGCAGAATGTATGAAAATGGAAAAAGGTCTGTAACTACTACTAAGATAAATATGAGAGGAAATGGACAGAAAACAAGTAAAAAGAACTGAACGGTGACATTAAGGAAACTGAAAGCAGAAACCTTGAATAGCCAGTGGCACTAACCCCCATGTTACCATGAAAGCAACTGGAATGTCAGAAATTCAAGATCACAACTTAACTGAATAGTCAAGTGAGAAGTGGGTTAAGATAAATAGATCCTTTGCTCAAATAGCCTACAAAACAAACACAAAAATCTGAATTTTAAACTTGAAAGAGTCCATTTATATAAGGAACAGCTGACATGGCCAAGCGAAGGAAGAGCTGCTCACTCACTGAGGCCTTTCCCATAAGCTTTAAGCTTCAATACATATTTGAAAACATCCCTTCCTAAAAGACTGATCTCCAGCTTACTGCAATCCTGACTGCTGGATTTGTATTTGCAACCTCACTAGAGGTAAAAATGACACTATGCAATAATGTCTTTCATTAAAGATGTTTCGTTCTAATACGATGACTGTTACCTTTTGATTCATTAAGTACTTAGGCAATTTGATGAAAACTATGGGCTCTCTCCTCAGAAAAATACAAATCCACACAAAATTCTATCTGAGATCTCATGAGGTTTACATCTACCACATCCCTCCCCAAAGCCAGTCCATGAGAGACCACACTC